ACTAGAACGGTAATAGCACTAATAACAATAATAGTTGAATATCAGTAATACCTTGAAATAGGATTGAAGAGCTTTAGAATTCGGCACTTCCACACCCGGAAGAAAAAAAGAAGACATCTCAGAGATGTTTGCGCTGTCATTGATATTAAAACACATTAATCTTTTTTTTTTAGCACCCAAAGGACTTCGCCGACATTCAGCATCAGTCTTTCTTGAAGACGTTGAGAAATTTAGTGTATTAAGTATAGACAGAGATAGATTGATAAGATATGGGGAAAAAAAAAATTCTGTAAGAATTTAGATCGCTGTCTCAAAACAAAGGAAAATAAGAAACCACACGGTTTCGCTTAATTAATCCAAGGAAATAGAAAATTTTCCAGCAGATATTGCTTTTTCGATCTCCTCCCGCTCCCGCTTTAGGTTTTCATGAGCGATTCGTTCGTACTTATCATAAAAATAACGCGTCTTGAAGAACCGTGGTTGATCTAATACGTGTTGGATAAAATCATACCGAGCGTCCATAAAAACCTCATCGGGGTAAATTTGATATTCTTTTCGAATGCACTTTACATAATACACGTAATTCCTCCAGGATAAACCAAACACCGTCAAATCGAGATCAAGAACAAGATGCAGAGGATCGATAATATCATCCTCACTGGTGTTGCTGCTCTTTTGGTCAAAATCCATACGATTATTGGGTTCTGAAATAGAATGTGATGAACTGGAGGAGACATCAAAATGGTTTTTCGTTCCCATGATAAAACGCGCCGCCTCGTGATCAACAAACTTCGCACTTGAAGGATCCAACCAAAGAATGGGCGGGGTAGAACTATCCGAAAGAGTATTTGGATTTATATTAGGACCACAGCTCCTTTCGCTTTCCCATAATTTCTTAACATTAGATAAAGCTTCCTGCATCCAACGGACGCTATTCTCCTCATTGACTTTACTTGTTGGGTCGTAGATTGAATCGTGAAAAAAAATCGCAAGAACAACCGCTAAATCACTCCATATTCGGGAAGAACGCTCAGAGGGAAAAGAAGAAAACTTTACAGAACTTTTCGACTGCGCGTGCTTATACATTTCAAGCTCTGTAAATATGGCACGAATATGAGTTAAGTTATGATAGTGTCGGTTAGGGTCTGAATAAGGTTGCTTAATGTATTGGTTGAATAATTTCCATGACGAAACACTTGATGGTAGCAGCAGCTTAGAGCACTGATTCCAGATATCTTCCTCTATCCGTAGGGCCATTCAACACATGATAATATAATTCAAGGTATCTATATAGAAATATATATAGATATAAATATGAATTCAGGCTATGTTAATAGAACACTTAAAATAAAAAATGTATAAACCAGTTTACTTTTCAATACAAAGTAGAGTGCTTGTATTTGAAGTCTAAATTATTCAGAAATAGATATTCAAATTGGCATAGATTCTGGTGTCTTGGTTTTAATATTACATCTTTAGTATTTACAGGAAGGTAGAGACTTTTGGCGACAGTGGAAAAGCTTTGAGGGGGAATATATATATATGTGTAATTCTTTAGCAAAATCAACAAAGAACCTTTTCAATTAGAAAGAACACCTGATACGAATAAATATAATTAGATAGTCTCAACTCCAGATAGATAAACATGCATATTCCTCTAGTTGTTGACCCCGGTGCAGGCGATATCGCAATTGGAAAGATATTAGTTTATTTTGTTCTTATTAATAATAAAGATTACTGTAGTAGTTGTATTTATTCAAATACCCCGGGGAAACGAACTTTTTGCTGTAGTATTCCTGAAAGGTCACGTTGATTTGCTGAAGGAGGCGCTCGATATGAGTGGTGATGACATTGCTCCCGAGGTCCGGCAGGAGGGTGAAGTCGAGGCCGACGTAAACCGGAAATTCATTCCGCTCGACCTGCTTCCAATCGACTTTGATATTATCCTCATCCTCCTCGGCCTCGCTGCCGACGAGCATACCCGAAACGAAGTGAAAAAGCCGCCATCGATTGTGAAAGTACTGCAATTTCCGCGAAACATCGCCGGTCTCGAGGAATTTGATCGCGAGGAGGGTGCAGGCCGCGAGAAGGACTTTACGATTCGCCTTGCTGACCATCCCCTGGATGACCAATCGCTCAAAATACCAATACGCGTGGGCAAGAGTGGAAAGCTCAAGTGGGGAGTCGTCCTCGAGGGCGTAGACGAGAAGTTCGTTTTTAATTTTGCGCAAATGGGTGAGTTTGACCCCGCACACCTCCAGCTCGGGGTGTTGGACATAAAAATGGTTGTTGAGGTCCTTTTTGAGGATTTTTTTATCCACAAACGAAATCACCGAAGTGCGGTAGGAAGGGAGGACGATGAGCTTTTTCCGCCGCTCCCCGCCGGTGATGGTGCCGCTGTCGAGGAAGAACGCATCGGAGAAGGCGGGGTTCGCGCGGTAGACGTGGCGTTTGAGCATTTTTCGATAACTTCGCATATGCTTGACCGAGCTCGCGTCATCCTTGCCCGGCGTTCGCGGGCGCCGCCCGTCCCCTCGGCTGCTCGGCGAGCTCGAAAAGGTCGAGGCGGCGGCGGAGCGGCTCCGACGGCTACTCCCACTGCCCGAGTGGCTATTCGCCGAGCTGGAATAGCTCCGCGAGATGGACAAATGGCGGTGGTGGTGGTGGTGGTGGTGGGCGCCCCGGCGGTGCCCCCGCCCCAGCTGGGTGTGGGAGGACCCGGCGGCGGTGGAGCGGTCAGCGGACCAACTCCGCGAGCGCGCGCGGGAGCCGGCGGAGGCGGCCGCCCCGTCCTCGTAATTACCCCGCAGGAATTGGCGGTTGACGACGAAGTCCTGGTAGGCGTCCTCGTCGG